ATGATAAATAAAGTGCAAATTTATCGGTTAGGTCTCAAATATAGTATTAAAAAGTTTTTACTTTGGTAATTATTAATAATTTCAATTGAAAAATGAAACAAATAAGGAAAAGGCTCTATTAATTAAAGGCATATCATCGAAGAGAGAAGGATTAGCCGATTAGGAGAGATAGGGTCTGGATAAAAGGCGATTAAAAAGAAGTAAACACGAAGGAGGACTTCTATAGGGTTTCCGGGAGACCCGAACCAGTGAAGGGTTTGAAAGAGTGTATCTGCGTTGCGAATCTCGGCGGCAAGAAAGGGACAACCGGAAGGCAAAACTCCATCGGATGGATCATTGACGCGCAAGTCGCAACGACGATAGCAGAGACAGATCTAAGTTTTGTGATTCGGTAAAACGAGGCGGCAACCACATTGGCTGCAGTGGAGACGTCATAGATGATAAGGAGAAACATAAGTCGATATATCAGTGATAGGCGCGGTGCAGATTTCAGCAATATGAGAAGGCCCAATTATGCAGAGGCAAACTAATCCGCAAACAGAGACATAGAGACACAGAGGCACCATGTTGATCTTCATTGGGTATGGGTATGCACTGACAGCTTTCTTATTAAGGGTTTCTTTTTCAATGTTCTATTCTCATGCAGTATTATCATTTATTTTTCTATTGCACGAGGTGAACAAAAATTGCGTGGATTAGATGAAGAGTCAAGGACCCATCAATGATTACAAAGGGCGTATGAAGTAGAAAAGTTTATGTAAATATCTTCTTGGTCATTTGGACTTGTAGAGGTAAAGATCCTAGTTTATGTCAATATTTTCTTCAATTGGTACATGTTGCTATTGAAATTTCTTCTCTTTATTATGAGTGAGCATTGATCATGTTGTTTTAAGTTTGTTATGTAGTGTCCTAGCCCTTTATTCAGAAGCTTGAGGATCAAAAGTTGTATACTTTGACTCTACAAATCTCGTTATATATATTAACCCCCTCAATTATAAGCGAATGTCTGGTTTTTTGTGTTTTTTGGTTGACTAACTAGTTGACTCGGTGATTTGGACTTCAATTGTGCATAGGTTGGTCGTATTTGAAGAGGAGCTTAAATTAGTATCTGGAATAGTTGAAGATATTAATATTATGGCATTGGGATTGCTTCTAGTGATGAGTTATTTGTACATGTACAATTCCTTGACTTGTATTTGAGTACGCTTGATATAGTTTGTTTATATTTTTACGTATTTTCAGCATTACCATTTTTTCGTTGCATCTACTTATGTAGATAACAGACAGGAACAAAGCTCAACTGCTATTTGTCCAAGCCGAGATAGAAGTAAATTTGTTGGAGATTATAGAAGTTGAAGTACTATGATAATGCTCTATGTTTCGTGTAGACGAAAGAATTTTTAGAAATGTTTAAATAATATATGTTATGTTGTTGTAGTCATTTTTCCTATGAAAGGATGTTGTAGGTGTAGTACTTATTGTAAAGAATTCTTGTACATGATTTATATAAATTTATGCATATTTGCAAGGTGCTTATAAAATTGTTTCCAGGTGAAATTAGGGATTATCAAGATGAAATAAACGATTTAGGAAAGTAGATAATTACATAGCTCATTTTTAATATTAAATAGCTAAAATTATGTTTAAAAAAAAAAATACTTTTCAGCAACCAAATTATGCGTGGCTAATTTATTACAGAATGAGCCACAGTTATGTTCATTTGAAGCTATATCTATCTTATTGGCCATGGCAAGAATCTGAACTTTTAGCTTCAAATCGATTACCCATGGCAAATGTTTAGATGAAGCCATATCATATAATTAAGGTAGCTAATTAATATGATGATTTAGCTACAGGATTTCACTTATATGGCAAATAGGAATTGCACTTTTAGCTACATTCTATTTTCTCGTATAGCTAAAAGTTTAGATTTTAGCTACACAAGTAAAAATGTTTGTGGCTAACCTTTAGCTGCGCCACTTTTAGCCACACGAGCTACAAAATGAATTTTCTGTGGCTATATAATTTAGCCACATAATATTTATGCTTTAGCCACACAAAAATATGTAGTTGTAAGCACGTTTTCTTGTAGTGTAACATGCAAAATTAGGGTTCTTCATACCCAAGTGGTAGAGGGGATTACTCCACAGAGAGAGAGATAGGAAAGCCATGTCGGTTGTAGAAATCATCATTTTAAACGAAATAAATCTGCTATGGGTCATTAATCGTCACTCCTCGAGGCTTGAATCGAGCTCCAATGATGGGAAACTTGATCTAGGGCACTCAAGGATCTTTGTTTGTCACTTTCTCTCTCTAAACCTCTATTTCTGCTGCAAAACTCGAATGGTAGACCAAAACCCATGTTCAACTTGTAATAGCCCGAGTTGGGTGTACCCGGTCGGGTATTAGGGGATCATACCAGGTATTTAAACTAAACAACACGTTTCAACTTCTCATCACAGGGGGGGAAATACCCGACCTCTAGGTAAAATACCCGGTCGGGTATTTATGGTTCATGACCGGGGGGCCTCCTGGTTCTCTTCGGGAAATACCCGATCTCGGCTGACTATACCCGGTCGGGTACTTAGGTGACCCGATCGAGTATTTTGACCTTCCAGCTCCACTTTCAGACAATCTCTGGTTTTTTACCCGAACTCGCTTCCAAGCCTCTAATTCCGCTCTCGGTCTATAAATACGACATAAAAGCACAACCTAGCGTGAAATGGGCTTAAAACACGAGAATCGACGCTCAAGCGATACAAGAATAATTGGCAAAACATGTACAAATATCAGGTTATCACATAGTGACTTGTTATCATATATGCCTTAACACTGATCATCTAAATATTGATGACAGAATGTATGCATTGAGTGTTCTTGCATAGTTGGAATCTACTTGATAATAGGGTTGGTAATCGGTCAGTATCGGTTAAATCGGTTACCGTTTGACCAGTTATCAGTATACCGAAAATTCCAATACTACTGCCGTTTGCCGATACCGAGTGTATTTTGGTAAACCGCTTAAAAATTGGGACGATTTTGGTTTTTGTGTTAGTTTCCTGATTTACCGCAAAGATCTCCTCGACTTCCAATCCTCTGACCTTCACAACACCATCCTCACCTCAACCTCTGGACCTGCAGGCTGCAACCATGATGGCAGAGATATAATCTCCCTACTCTTACATATGTGTTGCAAGATTTGCATGATGGATTTGGGGGTGCGGGGATTTTTTGGGGTGAAGTCGATGGCGGTGTTCTTGAAGAGTTGAAGATGAAGAGATAGATTTGGGCATTTGGCGTTTCCATCATCGCCGTCTTTTGGGGAGATAGATCTGACATCGGGGAGATAGATTGCAGTCAATTGGAGTCACCGCCATCGTCGTTGCCCTATGTCTCTAGCTCCATCGTCAATCCGCGCTCCCGCCACTGCTGCATGTCACCATCGCGTTCCTAATCAATGGCCAAGCGAGGCAAATCAGGCAATGAGAGCACTGGATCTGGTTCTGCGTTATGGAGGGAGAGCGAAGCGCTGGATCGGCTTCTAGTTCTCCACAACGGCAGAGGTGACGGCGGCAGATGACAAAGTATCGAGGACGGGTGCCAGCGCGGACGCGGTTGATGGAGGCAGGGAAGGAGATGCTTCCATGGAGGGGTCACCTCCCGTGGCTTTTCTTCCAGTTGAGAGAGAAGAGAAGGAGCAGGGAAGGAGACAAAGAGAAGAAATTAGAGAGAAGGTCTGTCGGCGGGAGTGAGACAGGTAAGTAGGGGAAGCGAGTTAATTAGGTTCGGCTCGGTATTCTCGGTATACCGAGAAATCAACGGTTAGATACCATATATATCTCGGTATACCGATAGCTGAAATGTTGCTACCGTGTACCGCTACCGGTGGTTAACGATTTAACCGGATACCGGCGATTATCGGTTCGGTATCCGGTTAAACCGTTAACCGGACAACCGGTTACCACCCCTACTTGATATAATGAATCAATCAAGTCTTTTAAGTGGAATAGAGTAGTGATAAGTGCGCTAGCAGCAATAAAAGAAAGCTATACTTGGGACATAATGCCAATACCTGAACGTAAGAAGATTGTTGGAAATAAATGGGTGCTTAATTTGAAGTTAAACCATATGGATCTGTGAGAGGCATAAGGCAAAACTAGTGGCAAAATGGTTTACAATAATTTATGTGATTCATTTCCTGGACACATTCTAACTAATTGCTAAGATAAATATAGTTAAAGAGATGTTAGTTATAACTGCAGTGAAGAATTGGGGGTTAGAGAATATGGATCTATATTATATGCGCCTTCTTACATGGAGATCTATGTATAGATGTGTATATGCATATACCTTTTGGAGTTGAGATACCACTATCTAGATCTAGTAAAAAAATAGGCATATCTACTTAAGAAATTTATGTATGAATTGACACAAACTTCAGGATAATGATTTTCTACATTAATAGGAATCTTACTAAAAATGATTTTTTTTTTTCAAATAGCTTTGGATTACTCCTTGTTTACCAAGTGGATTAAAGGCATAATAATGGTTATACTTTTATATGTGGATGACACAATTGTTGGAGGAAATGCTCATACGGATATAGAACAAGTAAAGAAAGCTTAATACAAGGAATTTAGAGTGAAATTGTTAGATCTATTGATGTATTTTCTAGGATTAAAGGTTCAACGTATGTCAAATGGTCATACAGTATACTAAAGAAAGTACTGTATCGATTTATTGAATGAAACCGGTTACATTGAGGCAAAAGGTACATTGGTAACCCCTCGATTACGTACAAAATCCTATTAGCAAACTTTTGCTTGGATTTTTTGACCAACAAGTCAGTCTCCAAGCTCGTATCGCCTTGAACAGAAAAAGATACTCACATATGCATCAAATAAGAGACATGAGAAGTGTCTTCAAAATTTTGCAATAATTAAGGCGCACAAAAGGAAAGCTAACGAAGAAGAGTTTAAATTGAAAAATAAAGAGATGGTTCAAACAAAAACCAAACATTCCCTATTGGTGTCGGGAGCCAGGCTCCCTTTCCCTGTCTTCCCAACAAAGGCGACCTTCAACTCCTCGCAAAACACCCTCACCGTCGACCGCCGCGTCCACCACGATTCCGATTTAAACGTTGTCCACATGGCCATCCTCAAACTAAACTCCACCGCCCCTCTGGAGCCATACTCCTCCGCCATCTTCTCGACCGCGTCGTCCTCCGCCTCCTCGTCGACGGAGCTGTTGGTGGCCAGCTTCGTTACCATCCCCGTCGCCGCCCCTGTCTCCAGGGAGAACGGGTTGGCGTAGGAGGACACCAAGGGCTGGTCGTCGTAGAACATGAAGGTCTCGATCTGGTTGAAATAGAGTCGAATCTTCGTGTTCGGGTTCCGGGCCGTCAAATTGGCGTCCCACGACGCAGCGAAGCTGGACTCCTTGGCCTCAAAATTGGCGACGGTCAGGGACTCGACGTGGAACTCTGGAACCTGTGGGCGGAGCACCACCCAGAAGAGGATCGTGGAGGCGAAGATGAAGAAGAATAAGAGCATCATTCCTATTAGGAATCCTCGGGCAAAATTGGCCGCCGCGTTCATCTCCTCCTGGGTTGGGTACGCACCGGCGCCGTGATTGTAATAGTAGGCCGCCGGCGGTGCTTGTGCCGCGTAGTTGTAGTTGTTGTAATTGTAATTGTAATGGTAACCGGGCGGGTATTGGTAGCCGGGCGGGTACTGACCCATGGGAGGAGGGTAGCCCATGGTTTGTGGATAATTGTAGCCGACACCAGGAGGGTATGGAGGCGGCGGATGTTGTTGGCTGGCGATGGTATTGGTTTTTCCATCCGTGGCGGATGTGGAGGACTCTTTGTCTTTCTTCGGTGAAGAATCGTGATCGGACGATGACGGAGCCATGACGATGGCCGATAACTACAATGGGGTGATTTATTTATTTATTTATTTATTCTCTCCTGTTTTTTTTTTTTTTTTTGTTGTTGCTGTTGTTGTCTCCCTTGGATTGATATCTCCCTCGGAGGTGGAGGGAGACAGCTACCGCCGGGAATTGGAGAGAACAATTTGTTGTGTAATGTGGTATTCCCAAGGGAGGAATTCCAGAGGAGAAGAAAGATTAAGGGGAGGGAATATTTGAAGGAGGGAAGGGAAAGAGTATATATGATGAATATATTGTTAAGTTATCATTGAAAACTAAAAAGGATTTTTGTTGTTTGTGTCGTTGGTTTTGCTCAGAATAGATAGACGACAAGGAGCTATATCTACCTCCACATCGAGATGCTGCTTATTTTCTCCAATTTTCGGTTCTTTATGTTCGCTGACAATGATTTTAATTTGTCCATTACAATTATCTATTCACATTGTAGACTAGGTTTGTGTCCATCCCATCGCCCGCGCTTTTATGGCTTTTATTTTTTCAATAGCGTTATGCTACTAATTCTCATTGTATATATTTATTAAAATTATTTATTATTCGAACTTTATTTCAAACTATTTTCAAAATTTCAAGGATAGTTTGAAATATGATTAATATTTGTAGTTATAACTTATACACCCCTTAATTTTTGTTTAACTAAAGAATTCAAACAAATGTTTAAACTTTCATATTTGCTTTTTTAATTATTTAATTCAAATTAGATCAATTAAATTATTCAATTTAAAGTGTATTTTTGAATGTATAATTAATAATCTTTCAGAATTTTATTATTGGTAGTATTCGCCTTTAGTTATTCAAATAGTTTACGCCACACAAAAATTGAAATGAGTTAGTATCTTGTTTATAGTTTTCTAATTTATATTGAATTTAATATGAATTTTTTGTATGCTTATAATAAAATAAAATGAATTTTTGTTTAATAAAAATTATTTTTAATAGAATTTTAGCCCTTTACGTCAACATCGTAAGAGAACTTCGTCCCCCTGAAAGCTGATTCCTGGCTCCGCCCCTGACCATATTTAGTTTGAGTCTGGATAGGAGCAACGATAATATAAAACATTAGGATTCATAACTTAATATTTTTTTCAACCTCATGAAAACACATTCACTCACATGATTTAAATTATCATATGTTATTATCGAATCATAGCCATTTTAACTTATTTCTGCTTTGATGAATGTATAGCTCAACAAACTTAGAAGTTGAACATTCTGGTGGTAGTAGACTACTCATACATGGTAAATTTGTCATTCGGTTGATACGTATAGTCTTGCTCATCATTCAAATAATGATCCATTTTGTCACTTATATTAATTAAAGTAAAAAAAAAACCATTATAGATCCTTAAGTACTCTCAAATTAGAGTCGGGACTTTTAATACCATTTAGCTTAATGAAATAAAGAAGCAATTGTATATCATGATCATGTAATTAAGGTGTAGTTGTAGTCCTATACTACCAATCAATACATCTATAATTGTGTATTATCTATTCAATATTTTAATAATTATATAAAAAATGTTAGCTATAGAGGCACTCCTCTTCCACTTGACATTCCATACAAAATTAATTCAATAACCAAATAACCAAAGAAAATAACAATGGCTAGAACTGTAGTGTTCTTCCTTATAGTTTATCGTCCATCATCATTAGACTACAAAGATTCAAGTTTTATCTTATGCACTACAACAAATTCGGCCTATTAGGACAAATTTTTTTTTTTGTCATTTTACTTTTGTCATTATAGGTACTATAATATGACAAAAATTGTAAATATCACATTTGGTACTCCTAATGTGACAAAATATCAGTTTGTCAGAATACTTTGTCAGTTAAAGTTTATAAAGTGACCAAGTTTGTGTGTCACTATATGGTTCGTCAAAATAGGTAACCCACATCGGGTTGTAAGAGACATAAAGTGACAAAATGTGATCGTCAAAGTATAGTTTGTCATATTATGTCTTGATGAATTGTTTAAACGACAAATTGGTTTGTCACAATAGAGCACCATAAGCCCTCGCCGATCTGACCAAATGTAATGTTGGTCTTAATATAGTGGTCTCGATATGTGACAATGGCATTTTGTCATACTTGGTGTTTTTAGTCTGCAACCTCTTTCCCTCGATCGGGAGAACAATTATACTCCTTTTTCCTTGTCTCTTGAAATTGCGCAGTCTATCAAAATCCAAAGGAACCCGACATCAAAATCCTTTACCCGTCCTCCACCAATCGGGCCGGCCACTCTCCGGCGGGATTTCCGTCATCGTAGCTGTTCCACCAATCTCCCCGTCACCACCGCAGTTCAAAGATCCCCTATCTCCGAAACCTAAATTTCTTTACGGATTGGACAGCAAACTCGTTGGTCTTTCTCCCTCCCTCGTTTCCCAAAGCAAACTCGCTGGTCTCAGAAATAGGTAAGCGTCGTCTTTCTCTCCCGTGGCTACTATGTAATGCTAATTTAGCTTAAGACTATTCTGGTGGGTTATCTATCTGAATGAGCTCTTGTGTTTCCTTGTCATTGACTCGGTGGCAGGTGCTGCTTATATATTCGATCCTTCAACCATCCAGTTGTGCTAATTAGAATAGAGAGAAGGCGGCCCAAGCACTAAGCAAAGGTAAGATTCGATTAATGTCTTCAATTTTTCTGACATTCAGAGAATTCGTGTAAGTCAACTGGTTCCTAATGGTTTGTCATATACCCTCTGCAGATCCTTTTCTAGTTCATCTCACGATGTGCTTCCTTCTTGACCAACTGCCTATAAAGGGAAGGTCAGTTTCTTTACGCACAGATTGAATGAGTAGAAATTGGATTAACCTTAAGGATAGGTTTTGTGATGAATATCAAAAGGGGGTTTCTGAGTTCATAGGGGCTGCCAGCAAACATGTTGATACGCTAGGTAGAACTAGATGCCCTTGTAAAAGGTGCAATAATCGAAACTTCAAGAAGTTGGAGATTGTCGCAGATGATATAACCAGGAATGGCATGGTGGAGACATATACTACATGGATCCATCATGGTGAGTCGTTTGACTTTGGGAGTACTAGACATCAGCCTAGGCAACCTACAGTTGCGCCTGAGACTGAGGGTTTAGAGGATGACATGGCTGATATGTTAGGGGATATGCTGCGTGCTTCTTCTGGAAATGCTCCTGTCATTGAGGGGTCAACAACACCTAATTATTCTAATATAACAGACCTCAATGATAAATTGGCTCGGCTAATCCGTGATGCCAATTTGCCATTATACCCTGGATGCAAAGACTTTTCTAGATTATCATTTGTTATGAAATTGCTGAACAGTAAACTGGTAACCAATAGTACTGATAAAGCCTTCAACATGAATCTGGACCTAGTCAAGAAAGCTTTACCTGTTGGTGAGACGCTTCCTTCTTCCTTCTATGAAGTTAAGCGGTACATGGAAGATCTTTGGTTTGGTTACACCACTATAGATGCATGTCCAAATCATTGTGTACTCTATAGAGGTCCTCTAGAATCTGCCAAGTCATGTCCCAAATGCAATGAGTCTAGATACATACCTGGGAAACAAAATAATGTAGCCCAAAAGAAAGCTAGGTATTTCCCACTAAAAGATAGGCTGCAAAGATTGTACATGACTAAGGAGGATGCTAAAGACATGAGGTGGCACAAGGACTTGCGTGTCGATGATGATACGTTAAGGCATCTGGAAGATGGAAAAACTTGGAAACGATTCGATGAGGAACATAATTGGTTTTCAGCAGACCCTAGGAATGTTCGCCTTGCTCTTCTAAGTGATGGGTTCAATCCTTTTGGGAACATGAGCAATAGCTATAGCATGTGGCCTGTCGTGTTAACACCGTACAATCTCCCGCCTTGGAAATGTATGACAGAACCTTATTTTATTCTTGCTGTCCTTATTCCTGGAGAGAAATCGCCCGGTAATAACATACATGTGTACTTAGAGCCCCTAATAGAAATGTTGAGAGAGTTATGGGAGGATGGGGTCAGTACGTATGACGCACACTCAAACGAAACATTTCGTTTACATGCTGCGTTGTTATGGACAATAAACGATTTCCCCGCATATGGCATGCTATCGGGCTGGAGTACGAAGGGGAGATTAGCCTGTCCTGTATGTAATAGTGAGACATGCTATGAACGTTTGGATTTTAGTCATAAAGATTGTTACATGGGGCATCGAAGATGGCTGCCAAGTGACCATAGGTGGAGAAAAAGTCGGAAATTTGATGGGAAGCATGAACTTAGAGGCAAACCAAGAGTGTTGTCTGGGGATCAACTTTTGCAGCAAATAGATAAGGCCTTTCTCTCTGATGTGGTCGTGAATGATTGTGGGAAAAGAAAAAGGGGAAGTTCTGATGATATTCCACATAACTGGAAAATCAAAGCTTCATTTTGGAGTTTGCCATATTGGAAAACTATAGAGTTGAGGCATAATTTAGATGTTATGCATGTTGAAAAAAACATTAGTGAGAATGTGATAGCTACACTACTAAATATCGAGGGTAAGACCAAAGATAGAGCCAATGCTAGACGGGATTTGGAAGATATGCGTATTAGGAAAGAGCTACATCTGGTGAGAGACGGTGATAAGTATAAAATGCCTCCCGCTTTATACACCATAAAAACCGCACAACGAAGGCCATTTTGTGACTGGTTGAGGTCGATCAAATTCCCAGATGCTTATGCATCTAATATATCCCGGTGTGTGACTTCTGATGGTCGGTCAATCACTGGCATGAAAAGCCATGATCACCATGTCTTCATTCAACGCCTTCTGCCTGTTGTTGCACAAGGGTTCCTGACCAAAGAAGTATATAATATATTGTCTCAACTTAGTGAATTCTTTCGTGAGTTGTGTTCAAGAACGATATCGAAGTCCACTGTCAGGAAACTCAGTGATAACATTCCAGTTATACTTTGCAACCTGGAAATGTTGTATCCACCAGCTTTTTTCGTCGTGATGATG